CCCACGTGATATTGTTGTGCCCAGATGCCGCCCTGGAGAAGCCGTTTCCTCCAGGGACGGACTGAGGCACTAACAGTAAAGTGGTTTGAAGCAAGCCTTAACAAAACCCTAACAGCTTCAGATTTTTCAAAAGTAAGAAATTATCGATGTCATAGAGAGAAATTACATTAGATTGCCTCCCAAGCGGTACCATTTACGGATGCAGTTTGTACAAGTCCATATTCTAGACTATTATTTCTTAGTTTAAGTCAATTTGATGCCACCTGACTCCAGAGCAATTTTGGGCAGTTCATGAGACCCAAAGTACAATAAAAACAACATAATAACAGGCATTGCGCAAAAGCCAGGCTAGAATAGAACAAAATGGCAATTCCAGCAACAACTAAAACTCCTATAACAAGGGTGTCAAACTGGATTTCTTCAAGGGCCAGATCAGCATTATACTTCTTCTCTACGTGCAGCCCCCTCTGTCCTGTTTTTGGCCTTCAGGGCTTCCAGCAGTAGTCTTCCAGGCAAAAAGGTTTTGGCCGGTAGAGGCACTGCGGGCTGATCCATTGATATTTCCAGGCTGGACTCGTGGTCCGGATTTAACCACACAGTGGGCCTTGAATTTGATACCCTATAACCATGATGGTGAACCTAAGGCACACATGCCAGAAGTGGTACACAGAGCTCTCTCTGTGGGCACGCGCATTGTCGGCAGCTGCTCTTCTGGTTTCCAGTGTGCCAGTCAGCTGGTCTACACAGGCACCAGAGCACTGGAAAATGGCCTGAAAACAGCCAAAAAACAGACCGTTTTCCAGGCGCTCTGTGAAGACCAGCTTGCAAAGACTATTACAAAAATCCCCTGAAAAGGGACCGAAAAATGCCCCCCCAAAAACAGCCCAAAAAGAGGCATATGTGTGCCACTAAACTGGTCTTCAGGTTTCCAGTGCTACGGCGCACGCACATGCACATAAATGCACATGCGTTCCGATTTGGGCACTTGATGTCAAAAAGGTTCGCCATCACTGCCATACAACATGGGGACATTCCAGCAACCTTATAGCACAGTGCTTCACAACACTCTCTAGAAGGTTTACACTGTTTTACATATTGCCCCCAACAATCTGGGTCCTCATTTTACCGACCTTAGAAAGATGGATGACTGAGTTGACCTTGAGCCCTTCAGGATTAAACTCCAGGCTGTGGACAGAGTCAGATACAATATTGTATCCTAACCATTGTGCCACCAGGACTTGTATCTATCCAAAAGCCTAGGAGAACAGCCAGGTCTTAATGGTTCTGTCAAAGGACTGGTTCATTGTAGGATACTCCTTTGTCATTTCAAATTTGGTTTTATTTTTAATAGTTCTGAGTTGCAAGTTTATTTATCATCATCATTATTTATTTAATTTGCATGCTGCCTAATTCACAGTGTTTCATAAACTTATAAATAAGAAAGCCAAAAAATATCCTTACCCTACAGTTTAGTAGAGTATAAAGCACATGGTCAGGAGTTGTCTGTGCCCTCCACTGTAAGACTTCTGAGAGGAATAAGAACTGGTGGGGAAAACAAGATAAAACATTAAAAAAGAGAGAAACATAAGAAACACAATTGCTTCTTTAAACATCTTTTAGGCCTAGAAAGAGTTCTCTTTTCGCTGAACTGCAAACTGCTACCAGTTTGACAGATTCATAGATATTATTACTATGAAGAAAAGAAATTTAAGGATGTTGACAATAAAAATCTGAAAGTACTTAAAAATCAATAACATATAATAAACTGCTGACCTTTTTTCCAATTAGTCAACACAGGATTCAATTAATTCATTTTTGTTCTAAATAGACTGAAATTACCAGCAACTTAGAAGAACTGCATGTATGCACTGATGTGATCAGTGTGATATGATCAGGAACAACATCCAATTAAAGGTAAAGGTTAAGATCTCCCTTATCCAGTCCGTGTCTGACTCTAGGGGGCAGCGGTCATCTCTGTTTCTTAGCCAAGGGAGTCAGCATTGTCCGAAGACATTTCCGTGGACATGTGGCCATCTTGACTCTATGCTGAGGCACACGGAAGGCTATTACCTTTCCGCCGAAGTGGTACCTATTTATCTACTTGCATTTGCTTGCTTTCGAATTGCTAGGTTTGCAGGAGCTGGGGCAAGTACCAGGAGCTCACTCTGTTGCATGGTGCTTAGGTCTCAAACCTGGACTGTTGGCTTTCCAGCTGGCAAGCTCAGCATTTTTAACCACTGAGCCATTACGCCCCTAATATATCCATTTTGTATTAAATATTTAAAATGGTCAGTTTTAAAACAGACAACTATACATAATGTGTAGTAAGTAGAAACACGAATACATATTTATCCAGAATTATATAAGACAAAAATAGCATATTTGCATCAGATCTGCAACTGTGATTTGACATAGGTTATATATGGTTTTGATGTTATATATTTAGCCTTAGAAAATACATCCCTTGATATAAATATTTGGTCTGAATATATGGACTCTCATATTCTCAGTTCTGAATGGAAGGAAAATTGCGGTAAGTATGCTCTTCTCTGCTCGTTATCCACTATACCTATGGAATATTTAGGGCTTTACCTTTCTAGCTTGATCATTATCTTCTATTTGTCCCAAATCTCTGCCGCTTGCCTGTGCAATCCTTTTTCCAGAGACCAGATTCCCCACCATCACAGAGGCAGGACCAATTTCTACAGTACATCAGGAAGATGGTGAAAGAAGAATTAAGAACTTCCTTTCCAGTGCAAAATTCATATTACTGTGCTTCCTCATCTAAACTGAAACTATCTCGTATGAAATCCCCTGCCATTTTCAGCTGCAAATAATAGGAGCAGCTCCCAGCAAAATGAAATTACTGGATTATTATTATTAATGTTATTATTATTTTGCTGTCCAATTCCTGCAGCTCAGATCTTGAAACTCTGATTTCCAAAAACTGGGTTGTTGTTTAAATGAGACATTTGGTCAGTTGGGGATCACTACATTTGGTAATCTCATCTAGCATTTGAGGAGCAAGAGAGATTAGCTGAACCCAGACAATTTGAGATAACTAATAAAATAGGCTTTTGTAGATTTCCTCAGTAGATGGGAGTCAAAAAAATCCTCACCCCTTTCTAAGCCTTTCTGTAATGTAAACAAAAAATATAGCAGATTCATAGGAAAAGTACCAACTGTCTGAATTGCCAAAAGTATCTTTGTAACAGAGCACATAATCTTGTCTATCAAAGTGTTGCGGAGATACAGGAATCATACTGAAAGAGCTCTACTTGCTTTCTAGGTACAATTTAGAATACTGGATGTTAATACAGTTTAGGTCTTACTATTTAAGCTTCTCTATTTACTAATCTGTGTGAATTCTAAAATCTGCAGGAGTGGCTTTTCTAAAGTTCTCCCTATTCTGGTTTGATCCTTCGGCATCAAACTCAAACTACAGAATGCTGGTTCTTCATATTGCAATAATGCTCTGCCTCTAAGGATGCCTTACTTTTGCCAGACATTTCTTGGTAAAATTATCTGTTTTAATTTCTATCCATTTGTTATAAACTGCCTGAGGGACATTTTCAAACAGAAGGATGGTATATAATTAAATGAATAAAAAAATCCATAAAGCAAACCAATATTCCAATCACTGAGTGGAAAACTAACTAGCACACAGAACATCCAATCAAAAGGTCTTGAACTATGAGGAAATCTAGCTATTCTTATTTTTTTATTTATATGAAATTTATATATGGGACATCTCACTATCGAGTGACTTATCATGGAATCTCAACCCAAAATGCAAAAGTTAGACTTACCTGGTTGTTTCTGTCTTGGTTTAGGCAGATTTGTTACACAGGTGTGTGGACACATCAGTACATTACAGGGATGCAATGCTCCTTCAAGGAAGAGCTGTTTTGTTTCTGATAAGTGGATTCCACCAAGCGGAGTCTTTGGGAGTGTGTTTGCTGGTACCAAGGCTAGGCAGTAAACTCCTACTTGATGAATACTGTCTATAGCCTAGAAAAATAACATATAAAAAGAAGAAAATTACTATAAGGGTGGGAACAGGATTGAGTTGGTCAGCTCATAAGCACACAGATATCTAAAAAACCATGTAGCCACAGAAAGGAACTTTGGAACTCCCTACTAAATATGGGCTATGATTACACAATTATGTATCTACAATTTACTTAGCCATAATTTATGATTGCACCAATTTCATCTTTAAACAACAACAACAACAACAAAATCTCCCAGGCTGTGTTCAGAGGGCCCAATGTTGCTAAAAGTCAGAAGTCTAAATTGTTGTCCAATTGCAGTTCAGTGTAGTATGTGAACTACAATGTCACCTAATCTATATGTAAAGGTAGAAATAAAAAGTTAAATCAGTAAAAGTGACTTTGAATCATCAAGAAGTTATATAATTCTTGATCAACAAACCAGACAAAAGCCAGTCTAGAAAGCAAGAGAGTGAGTTCAAATCCCACCTTAGTCATGAAAGCTGGCTGGGTGACTTTGGGCCAAACATTTTCTCTCAGCCCAAACCCATCTCACAGGGTTCTTTGTTGTGGAGAAAATGGAAGGAGGAAGATGTGTTGGATATGTGCGCTACCTTGAGTTATTTGCAAAAACAGTAAAGACAGGATACAAATTTAAAAATGCACATTTTTTCTTGCCTGCTATGTAGATTTGCGGTACATTACAAATCAAGACTAATTTTATCTATAAGGATTCAAGACATGAAGAAATGGTTTCAAAATCATAGATTTTGAGTGTCTAAGGAAGCAAAAGAAAGAACAAAATTATGTTCCTTTCTTACTCAGAGCAATTTGATTTTAATCAACCTACCTACCTACCTACCTACCTACCTACCTACCTACCTACCTACCTACCTACCTACCTACCTACC